AACAATTGGTCTCTATTTGCCTAGGGCAACAGAGGAGGAAGAAGAGTCAGGAATAGGAGGAAGATATGGAATGTGTGGCTAATTGCCTCCATGAACAACTGCTTCCTTTGTCATGAGACCAGAACTAGATGGTGCCTGGCTACTATTACTGACCATTTTGACCAAAGATTCTATAGAAGAATCCTGAACAAAAGGAAGAAAATTCAGAACAGAATTTCAAATTCTCATGGACTTTCTGGAACCAAGGGGCCTGGATAACCCCTGGAACTAATAATGCCTTAAGATAATTTTTAAACCTTTATCCAAGAATATTCCCTGAAGTTATCTTAAAACCCAACAATAGTTTAGCTTAACTTGCTGTTGTTAAGCCCATCAAGTTGGTTCTGACTCATAGTGACCCTGTATAGGTTTCTGTGGAGCAGCTGGTGGGTTTGAATCACCGTTGTGGTTCGCAGTGCAGTGCTGATCCGACAGTACCACACCAGGAATCCTTAACTAGTAAGGAATGTCTCACTTGAGCATTGTGCTTTTTTAAACTCTAACTATGTGGAATCAAATTGAGAACAGCAACTCGAAAGACAGGAACTTTGTTGTTGTTGTTATGTGCCATGGAGTCGGTTCCAATTAATAAAGGATTTCCGAGGCTGTAAATCTTTACTGGAGCAGAAAGCCTCATCTTTCCCCCGCGGAACAGCTGGTCGTCTCAAACTGCTGACCCTGAGGTTAGCAGCCCAATTCGTAACCACTTCCCATCGATTGTTTTGATAGAACATGTTTGCATTTTCCTTCATTAGACAGGTTTCCTCCTTACGCAGGTACCCACTTTCATGAGTTTTATTGTACTATCTTCATGTAAGGAAACAGACCGAGAGGAGTTTTATTGTACTATCTTCATGTAAGGAAACAGACCGAGAGGTTAAGAGACTTGTACAGCCAGTAGGCCTGACTCTCTTTAATGTAGCTGTTCTTAACACTTTACCACTGTGCCTGTTACGGGAGCTTTTTAAACTCTCATTTCTTCCTCCTTTGCTGGCTGCCTTCTCTTTCTGCTCATCTTTAAACCCTGAGATTCCTTTCTGGGTGTTCATTTCACTTACATATTTGTATACTTCATGGGCAATCCCAACCACCCGCAAAGTTTTCAATGAAAGTATACATAGATGGGCTCCAAATCCAAACATCCAGCCCAGGCTTTCCTGGTAGCCTCTCGCCCTCACATCCAGCCATCTGAATGACTCACCAGTATTTCCAGCTAAACATGTAGTAGTACACAGGCCTCTCCTGCTTCATCTCCTAGCTCCTGTCCTATGGGAACTCTTTTCTTTCTTTTTTTTAATCACAATATTGCAAGGTTTCAGGTCTACAATTTAATTACCCATATAATTTTGGGAGTGCCCTGCTGGGATAGCCACGACTAAGGTAAGTAGAAGAGCCTGAGAAGTATGGGATGGTAGCCATGATGTTATTGGAGGTGATTGCCCAAATCCGTCGTCCCTCTTTGATCCCCCCCAGGTCTAGTCTTGACCTGTATTTCCGGGTAGTCCCAATCTTAATACAGGCTTCCATTCTGACGGCTCTGTTGTATCATTAGTTCTCTATAAGTCAAATACATCCTTTTTTTATTATTTTTTTTACATTATTTTTGTCTTTTATTATCAGTATCTTTACAAATCTGATCTTTATTTGTCTTTTGGAGTTGGAAAAATTAAATATAGACATACAGATATATTTTAATAGTGTATACCTACATACGTTAAAAAAAAATACATGGATTCTAAAAATTTATGATTCGTTGAAGAAAAGTTGGATGAGTTGGCAATTTGTCAGTTGTAATAATGCCACTTATGGATGGTTTTGAATCATCTGGATTATCACTGGAAAGGGGAATGGCTTTTCTAGTCAGAAAACTGAGTGAGAGCCATCTCTATGATCCTTTTCTTTTTTTTCTTCATATATTTCGAGGTACCTTCTCACTTCTTCTCGAGTCTCCCTATGGATTTCAGCAAAGCAATCAGTATTTGGGTCCATGTTTTCAATCAGCTAAAGCCCCTGATTTAGTTTAGAAAAATCTCCACCTAATCCTTTCAAACTGACGCAGCACTGGAGGCACTCATTCATCTATGCCAAGACATTTGGAAGACAGCTATTGGCCAACAGGATTGGAAAAGATCCATACTTGTGCTCATTTGCAAGAGAGATGACACAATGGAATATGGAAATCATTGGACAATATCATTAAAATCGTATACAAGTAAAATTTTGCTAAAGATCATTTAAAAACAGTTGTAACATCAACAGGGAACTGTCAGAAATTAAAGCTAGATTCAGAAGAGGATGTGTAACTAGGGATATCATTGCTGACATCAGATGGATCGTGACTGAAAACAGAAAATACCAGAAAGATGCTTACCTGTGGTTTGTTGAATATGTAAAGATTTTCAACTGTGTGGGTAACATTGCAAAGATTAAGTGTTCCAGAACATTTAATTAAAGATTTTCGACTGTGAGGATAACATTGTGAAGATGAGGTATTTCACTAATTGAATAAAATATTTAATGACAAAATGTTAACATGAATTCAGTAATGCTTTTAGATGGATCTCTATTTTCATTAGTTTTATCATTTACATACTTGTGAAAAATGGTACAAAAGAATGAGAAGTAAATGGAGAAAAGACTGAAGTTGTCAAAGACTTCATTTTGCTTGGATCCACCATCAACACTCATGGAAGCAGCAGTCAAGAAATCAAATGACATATTGCATTAGGCAAATCTGCTGCACAAGACCTCTTTGACATGTCCAAGAGCAGATGTCAATTTGAGCACTAAAGTGCACCTGCCCAAAGTCATGGTTTTTTCAATAGCCTCATATGCAAGGTCACCAGTTCAAACTCACAGTCTCAAGGTAGTGTTTGGTGTGGGTTCAGACTCTCCTGAGGGAGAACTCTGTGATTCTTCTGCAAGTTTGCAAAGCAGAACTTGAGAACAACTTTCAGATGAATTAAACCCACTGTCGTGGAGTTGATTACTGCAGTGAGCAAGCAGCCTAATGTCTAACCCACAAGGCCTCCAAGGTTCCTTATAGGAATTAAAAGATTTTAAAAAACAACAAACATAAAAGAAGTAGAAGTAGTCACATTTTAAAATTCAAATGGACAGACAAACAGGGAAAAATATTTGTAATAGTATACATGGTCTTGTTGTTGTTGTTAAGTACCCTCGAGTCAGTTACGACTCATAATGACCCTGTATAGGGTTTCCGATGAGCGACTGGTAAGTTTGAACTGCCGACCTTGTGATTCAATACATTATCTTGCAGTGTAAAAAGTCTTTACTAATCAGTCCTGGTTTGGCACTGTAGGATAAGCGTAGGAACCGCAAGGTTGATTTGAACCAAAAGGTCAGCAGTTCAAGCTCCCCAGTTGTTTCCAGAAACCCTATATTGGGTTGCTATGAGTTGGAACCGACTCCATAGCACTTAACAACAACAACAAGGAAAGAAACAGTAAATGTTTTTCGTGTGAGAAATTTATGTACTTATTGTGTGAGAAAACTGATAAGAGTATGTAAACAGAAAAGAAGAAATCTAAATAGCTTTTGTAAAACACTTGCACATTTTTAAAACGAAATACCATTTTACAAAGATAGACAAACTGACAAAAATAACAACCTGGGTTGATAAGGGCACTTCTATTCATTGCTGGTATGCATGTAAATTTAGTAAAACTATTCCAAAGGGTAATTGGACAACTTGTACTAAATAAAGGCTTTAATATGGCACAGACGTCAACTCAGCAGCTCCAGGGGTGGTAACAGATTTATGGATAAGAATGTTGTAGCAATATTTTAATTGTGTAAAATGACAACCTAAATGTTGTTGTTGTTGTAGTTAAGTATTGTCGAGTCAGTTCCGATTCATAGTGACCCTATATAGGATTTCCAAAGGAGTCCTGGTGTGGTGCTGTTGATTAATGCGTTGAGCTGCAAAGTCATTTGAACTGCAAGGACGGCGGTTCAAGCTCACCAGCTGCTCCCCAGAAACCCTAAATAGGGTCACTGTGGGTTGGAACCAACTCAACGGCACTTAACAACAACAAATAGGGTTAACTGTTGACCTTGTGGTTCAAACTTTGCGGTCCACTGCAAGTAAAATTATACGGCACCACACCAGGATTCCTTAAAGCCTAGAGCATGCGATAATCCTGGGCGGTCTCTCTTCCAAGTACTAACCAGGCCCAACCTTACTTAGCTTCTGAGATCAGACGAGATTGGGTGCATTCAGAGTGGTACAGTTATCCCTAGGGTGGTGGTTGTTTGGTTTTCTCTTTAAAACTTTTCCTGTGGTTTCTGAATTTTCTTTAAAAAAACATATGGGTGAGGCAGACTGCTGAAATTTAAAGCCTGGTTGTAACACTGCAAGCTGTGTGGCTCTGGGCAAGTTATTTATTCCCTATGTGACTTGTTCCCTCCATTTCCTCACGTGTAGAAATAGGGATGATATTGTTGTCACTATGCCCTTGACCACCCATAGCAACATAAGGTTTCTGAGACTGTAAATCTTTACAGGAGCAGAAAGCCTCATCGTTCTCCCATGGAGCGTCTGGTAGGCTCGAACCATAGACTTTGTGTTTGTAGTTCAGTGTTTATCCTACAGAACCATCCCTCTCCTGATAATAATAGTTACCTATTAACTTTGTTGCAAGGATTAAATGTATTAATTCATGGTATGGTCAAGAACAGAACTTGGCCCACAGTAAATGCTTACATTTTAGCTACTCTTACTACTTTTAATTGCTTTCAATTGATTCACAGATTGACAGCTCTGTCTGTAAAATTTAATAAAGAATGAAACTGCTGACCGACATGGTGTCTTAGTAAATCCTAATTTAGCCACCTTACTGCTTTTTCATGGAAAATGGTCTCTGGAAACTAAAACATGAATCATCGAATACACCTGTTTTTCTAAAACTGAAAATTCTTGAATTGTTTTTCTTTCTCAGGGAGGAGCTTTTTATTTCATGGAACATGTAGCAGCTAAGCGTTCCACCTGGAACTACTTTTGGCAACAAGTCCTGAATCCCGTCTGGTTCCTTCTGTTTGATGGGTGCAACCTGACCAGAGAGAGCTGGAAGCCCCTGGAACGAGCCAGCTTTTCTAAGCTGAAGCTGCAGCATGTGCATGCCCCGATTTCCTGGGAGCTGGTGCGCCCCCACATCTTCGGATATGCTGTGAAGTAGTGTGGAGCCGTAGCAGAGAGCACACAAAGGCTCCAAAAATTAAGGCTTCAGTCTTACAATGAAAATGCTAATTGGGAGAAGGAAGACCTTGTTTTCAATTGAAGTTTTCTGTTACATCCTACATATCCATTTTCTATTGCCTCCCAAAGAATTAAAAAATAAAAACAGCTTTGAGCAATTTCTTAAGAGGAAACAATGAGCTTTTATCATTTAAGTCCATCATTCCTACCTTCAGCTGTCCTTTCTTTAGTAATGTCAAATTTTTTTTCCAATTGTATCATTTAAATTGTTAACCAACAGATTTTAAGCCCATCTCTTTCTGAACTTGGTGCCAATAAGGAGTTAAATTACTCAAAAAAAAATTATTTTTAAAAAGGAGAAGTGAAAAGATCTTAATTGTTCACCAACTGAATAAACACATTCAATTTTAGAAAATCTTTTCTGAAAAAGAAAATCGAATCTGCCATTCTTTGTGTTGTTTTCAGAATTAATGTTGAGGACGCCGTATCCAGTTCTGGCCAGCTTTGTCATGTCTTGTATTCCAGTACTCCACCAAAGTTTGTTTTTCTGCATTCCAATCCTCAGTTCTTAAGATACAGATTACTTCACCAAAACAAAGCAAAATAAAACCCACAAACCCCATTTCCTTGAGTCAGTTCTGACTCAGCAATTCTATAAACTGGTGGTGGTGA